CCAGCTCTTCACCTCCTCCGCTCCCACGCTCTGTTTACATCAAAGTAACAGTTACTTCGTTGTTGACGACGACGAACGGACTCATTACAAACTAACTCATTCTCTGCGTCCCGGGTTTCGGCACCACGTTGTAACGGAATCTCAGCCATTCCGTTCCCCGGGACGCAGGACACAAAGGACAAGACTTGTTTGTTTTACATTATTTATTGACAAGACGGAAATGGAGACAACACTCAAAGGGACGAACAAGAAGACTGACAAAAGGACTCTCGACTACAACATCGCACATGCTCATATCACACATGCACGCGACTAGACGAGACAGTTTGGGGAATGCCATCACACAGGAAAACAACACATCATTTCACAACAAACTACTCGTACTCTATCTACGGACACAGTGTAGACTCTACTACCGGTACACCCAGCTAACAGATATCCTAATAACAGACAACAGACAGCAGTCAGTATGCCATCATGCACAAAACACGGACACAGAAAATGTTCTGAAAATGTTTGGCCAGACAGGTTGGCGCCAATGCGTGACCTATGGACTGTAAACAATGCATGCAACAAGAAAACGACGAGCAGAAAGAAACACAATACAGAAAGGAAAATATCGACGAAAAGAGTGGATGAGGATATGGTAGTTCACTTGCGTGGGACTCCGTGGGTCTTCGTAGTAGGCGATCTCCGAAGGCGTACACACTCCGCCAGCGATGTAGACGCAGTTGACGTTTTCCGCTGCCACCAGTGTAGGCTCCCGGCTAATGAAGTCCCCTCACACCAAAACACATGGGTTTTATAGTATTGAATTATGGCAGTACAAGAGTGTAGACAAGAAGGAGAACAGGACAACGACCACTCAAGACAGCTAGAACAGAACAGAACTGGAGACCCACTGGAGCATGGGCTCTTCTATGTGAGTGGCTCTCATCGCCAAGGGGAACGAGCGGGAAATACGAATAGTGAGTATACAGGTGGTAGCATAAATATTTAATACAGCTATTATGTTCAGGGCAATACGGACAACCCAAGTCACGACCACACATCGAAAACTACTGCTCGCTTGAAGACTGTATAAAGTGTATTCACAAACAACAACAAATCTGAAAACTCTGAAAAAGAAACTAAACAAAAAAGCCACGAGGTCCGCGCAGCACCTTGCGCACCAAGATCATCTACGAAAATGGAGGCATCGCAGTTCGCCTTCAAGAAAACAGCAACTATTGCAGCGAAGCGGTGAAAACTGCAAGAAAGCGAAAGCCATAGATCACGGACACAACAGAAAAAGTCTGTCCCAAAGAAAGCGCATCGCTAGCCGCGCAGCATTGTTCACACACAGCGCACAGTTCACTGTACATTTGGCAAAAAAAACATAAAAGAAAATCAAGACTGTTCAAAGCGCAAAAAACACATGTTCACGTCATGTTCAAGGAAATTCGAACGAAGAGAAAAAGAGAGTAGAGAAGTTTAGAGAAGCACAAGAACGACGAAATGGAGAAGAGAAACGTTCTTGAGATGAAGAGTAGAGAGAAGAGCAGAGAGAAGAGAGAGACAGACTGGAAAGCAGTTCTACAGAAGACGTGATAGAGAAGAAAGGTGAGAGAATAGACAGAACGAAAATAGCAAAGACAAAGTCCACAACAAATTCAAAACAATGTCGATCTTGTTCACAAGTTCAACCATCAGGCAGGAACATATTACATATCTATCAAGAACTGACCTTTGTGACGTGTGTATGAGCATGACCATTTTCGAAAATTGCATGGGGAGGTGGGAGCATTCTTCTTTTTATACCCACTCCCGTCCGGGGCAAGGTGGGGGTACAACCCCCCTTCACCCGAAAAATCATATTTTCACGTAAAAACCGGGCGCCCGGTTTTTACCCCAAAAATGGGGTACTATCAATAGTACCCCATTTGGGCTGGGGGATGGCCCGGTCATCAAACCGGCTTGATACATACTACTATGTACTAACAGGAGCGAGGTTAGAACGAGAGTACTTGTACACAAGAGAACAACACAGGACTTCAATGCCATGGCTTAGATGGGAAACAATTTGAAAATCCCAAATCTAAAACTAGTAGAACTAGGCACAAGCCACAAAACATTACGCAGGGCAGACAAAGCATGCTCACCTGAGTAGGAGCTCCGAGGACAGGGTTGAGCAAACGGAGCAAAGCGCAGCCATGCCGAGGACGCGTGGAGAAGACAAGATTTGAAGCCTTGGCGAAAACAAAAACGATCTCAGGGTCATGGGGAACGATGCCACTAGCTGGGCGCCAATTGTCGTCCGGGGGGGGGGGGGGGTATTGACCTGACGATAGCCCTTCTGATTACTCAATCACATCACAGGTACATCCCACGTACACCACACTCAGACGACAGATATTCGTCTTTACTCCGAAGAGAGTCTCAGGAAGAAGGCAACGAACAACAAGAATGCGTACAAATGCACGCATGTGCAACCTGCGCAGTCCGCACAACGAACACGCGGACCCAGCACACACGTGCCAAAAGGGGCAGGGACAACATATGCACTCCAGAGTAATGCACACCGCACCAAGATTACAAGCGACCTAGCATGACCGTCTTACAACACTGCACCTGTAACATGTGACAGTTCTGTACAAAATGCAACAGGAGAAATCATGCAAATTCGTTAACACAATGAATCTCAATGAGGGAGACCACGTCCGACCCCACATTGGGAGGGGAGGGCGCACTGTCCGGTACAGTCCACTAGCCAGCGACGGAGCAGCAAGGGCAGCGAGACACTCGGCGAGAGCAGCGAGACCAGCAGCAGCGATACACTGCTGGCGATGGCGCTGCAGGCATCGCCGGCTGGGAGCGACCGGAAACGAAAACGGAAACAAAGCCGGACGCAGGCCCTCGGGAAGCGAACTGAACAAATCCTTCCACCAGCTCCTCTGCCTCCTTTTCCACTGTCTTGAATATCACCAACTCCTCTGTCGATCTCCTCCGTTGTCACACTTTCGAATCTTATTTTCACGATACTTGTTGACCACGACAAGTAGACTCGCCCTCTGCGTTCCGGGTTTCGGCATCACGTTGTTACGGAATCACAGCCCTTTCATTCCCCGGGAAGCAGGACACCAAAGAGAAGACTTGTTTGTTACATTATTATATTATTGACATGACGGAAATGAAGACTACACTCAAAGAGACGAACAAGAAGACTGACAAAAAGGACTGTCGACTACAAAATCATGCATGCTTATATCACACATGCACGCGACTAGATGAGACAGTTTGGGGAATGGCATCACACAGAAAAACAACGCATCATTTTTACAACATCAGCAGCAATACTACATTGACTGTTCGTCGGAAGAAGAAGACAGAAAGGCCACAGCGAAGACATGTGCACAATATACATGCATTGTGCATGCACATGAAACTTTGCAACGAAAACAACACGTCCACAAACTACATAACTGTGCTACATCATACAATGAGCAGCAAGACTACACTAACTGGTCTTGGGCAGAATATTGACAGCTTACACCGCTACAGGCGTGGTGGTGCGTGGCAGTGGCCGACTAGAATCTTGCTGCTCCGTCGGCAAGTAAGTGCCATCTGGAGCTGGGGCGGCGGGTGCTGCGGCTGCGTGGGGCATCATTGCTGAACCGGTGGTGACAGAGTTCCCAGGTGAGACAGGTTCAGTGCATGTACAGGCTCCTCGATCCATCAGACCTTATCAAGGCTGTCCTTAAAAGTTTGCTGACCACCAAATTGCTGGTCAAACAAACGAAACCGGTTCATTGAACTGAATGAGCAGCACAGAGATGAATAAATGGTTCTCCGTGGACATGCCAAGCCAATAAATGGCAGTAACTGAAAATGGTGCGACGACAATTGCAACCATCTATGGACCACTTGCCAGAGACCTTGTTCACATGTGACATTATTTCTGATTCTGTTTTTCTCATACTCCCCTCGCTGGGAATACATATTTCTGTTCTCTTCATGCTCCCATCCCTGGGAAATATGTTTCAGATGCATGCAGAGACAAGTCAAGTCGGACGCACCTGTTTCGCCACAAAACCTGACCAGGGAAGTGGTATGACTGTTTTTGTGTATGTGTATGTTTATGTGTGTGTGTGGGGGGGGGGGGGGGGAAGTGGGTGGGTGGGTGGGTGGGTGCGTAGGTGGGTGATCTATGTCCAATGAATCTCATAAGCCATGAATTGGTTCAAACGTGTTCAATTCTTGGCATTTTTCCTCGGTTTTTAGGGAATTCCTTTGGGGAGGTGGTGCCCGGGGTTCTGTTGTGTATACACGGATGGAAAATAATGTTCTACATCGGGTGAAAGCTAGCGTGGATATCAGTGACACTGTTAAGATGACCAGTAAAAATGCATTTTCCAAAGGAAAATTTTACAGAAAACGACGACGCGTACAGTACATGTACTTGCAAATCTCCACGACGCGCTGGATACTCCGAGCGAGGAGCTGGAGGTAAGGGAGCTGCGATCTCAGCTTGATGAGCGATCCCTGAGGTGAGCGATCTCGGGCGTTCAGCAAAATCGAGCTGATTCCGAGTAGCCGATTACTTTCTTGTGGCTTGCGCTGCTCTTGCCTGCACAGCGTGACAAGATAATCTATTTTGATGCGGCGCTGTATCAATCCAAATCACCCACCTGTCGCTCTCGAAATTCACTCGAACTCTAGCTAGACCTTTCAGGTACCAGCAAACTAACTAGCTAACCAAAATTGGGATGAAATGGGTGGCCAAGTAAGCATTGGCGACATATAAACAAAGCTGAAAGATAAGCGACAATATCGCTGACGCGGACCAAGTATTTTGGAGCCCAGCGAACAGCCGAATAGGCGCAAACCGGCCGATTTTGGGAACGCCTACGTACAGTCGTCACATCAGAGGTCATGACCGCGTACCGCGTACCGGTCAGTGAACTCTGATGCATGCAGCTGCAGAGTGCATGCTGTAGGATGATACCAAGAGTACATAACCCCATATGTACTCTTGATACTAATACCAAGAGTCTATAACGCGGGTTATGGACTCTTGATAATACTAGTACTAGTGGTGGCATTAGTGGCGATGCTAGTCTGCTACATACATACATGTACATCTAGATCTACGTGTACGGGTTGCGCCTCGCCGCGCCGGCGCAACAGCAGCTGCGTGATCGTCATGGTTACCGGTTTCGCGCCTTCCTGGCCGGCTACACTCTCTACTCGTCTCAGGACAGTAGAATCGAACTCCTTAGCAGCAGCTGCTGCGCATACTCCTCATCGGAAGAGTTTGCACGAGCAGTTTTTCGGTCTTGGTCAGAGAAGGTGGAAGCACTTTATTCTGCTTCCGTTTGTAGACGGTCAGTTTTGTCCTAAACCCTTTTTCCTGTCCAGGCAATGTGCTCAGTCCGTTCTTGACGAGTCCCTACGGCGAAGTGACAAAAGATTCCAAGTTATAGTGAGTTTCCAGACCGCGTAGGGCAAATCGAAACAAAGAGTTTATTCTTGAATCTCCAGAGAACCCCTTGTCTGCTTACCGCCAGTAGTTCTTTGTTGCCCCTGCCCATGACGGGTAGTGATGAGTAGATCCAGTAAATGTTTTCAAGCAGTTGATCCGAGGAGCTCCAAGTTGCGATAAAGACGGACTTGATTGCAATACTCGATACCATCATGTGAACTTTCGTCCTTTTCAGCAGTAGCTTGTGTAGCCATTTTGGCAGTATGTTGCGCAAGAAAGCAGTAATCGCCGGCTATTTCTCCGTGACTTCAGCCAGGTGTCGGACACGGAAACTGCACACATCGCGAGGTGAGCTATGCTGACATGCTTCATTCTCTCTGTCATCAAGCGATCGTTTTCATTGTGCGATTTGTGCTGGCTTGCATCACAGCTCTAGGCCGTTCAGTGACTTGTCTACTACTTCGAAGTACATGACATTGTGTAGTTTGGTGTGAACGCTTGTCTGCGGCTTTCCCAAAGGGAGGTCGACTAATGTCGTCGGTGCCGTGTGTTCTGTATGGTCTTCTCAATTGCAGGTTCGATGGCCGGTGGTTTGAGCAACATGTTCTCCGCGTTACACTTCGCAGAGCAGAGCTGATTGCCGAGCCAAAAGTAAGTTTTGGCAAGGTGCTGAGAAGGACCATCAGATGGCGACAAGAAGCGGGGAATCGTCTGCAACGACATCCATCAGCGCTGCTCAGCGTGTGCTCTGGGAATGGCCGTTCTGGGAAGACGCATCAGGTAAGAGGATTCGGTATACGTTTCGTACTTGAGGTTGGCGAGCAATTCTCTGTTGGTTGAGCAGTGAGTTCATCATACAGTTGAGCTCCGTGAAATCCGACCCGGAGTGCAAAGGCGGTGCCCTGGACTGGTTCCGATCACATTGCATTTCATTTGTACTTGCACATATGCAAATTCCAGCCGCATTCGTGCTACTTTCAGGGCGTCAAGGGTGTGCTAGTGGAGGGCGCAAAAATGCACTCTGGATCGGATTTTATCGAGCATAACTACTTCTTTCGGTAAAGGTATCGTTTAGGGTCCCAAATTATTTCAGTGGGCCAGCATGCAGAGCCCCAGGCATGCACATTACACACACGAGACATGCATAGTACAAACAGAGCATGCGCAGTGCAAACAAGGCATGCACCAGACAGTCGAGGTCAACAAGGTCATAATAATTAGGAGCATTCAGAGCTCAACCACAACTTGGTGAGTTTCCATTTAACTCTAGCTGCTGTCGTGTTAACCTCGACTGGCTCGAGTGCATTGACCTTGTTGACCTCGAGTGCATTGCGCATGCCCTGTTTGTACTATGCATGTCTCGTGTGTGTAATGTGCATGCCTGGGGCTCTGTAGAGCATGCTGACCCACTAAAATAATTTGGGACCCTAAACTATACCTTTACCCTTCTTTCCTTGTAGACTCGGGGTGAAGTGAGAGAAAAATAATATTTTTTCCGAGAATAGGGATGGCCGTTTTGCGGGTGTGTCTCTCGCTTCCTTACTACATTCGACTACACTTCTAACGAACTCGCATGATATAGGGAATTTCGTGATAAAGCGACGAACCCTTGTCCACTTCACAGTTTGAACCCACAATGTAAGTGCATCTCTGTTCCAGTCGAACCTCACGATTGCGGATACTCAAGGGACTAAGGTCAAATGTCCTCAATTTACAGATGTCCTCAATTCTCAGCAACTTGCACCCAGCATCATACAGTATGTATGTCATTTTGTTCGTTGCAATGGATGCAACCATCATAATACAGTACAGTCAGACCTCGCTTATCCGGTCCTCTGTTATCCGGATCCCTCGTCATTCGGCAGAAAATCGTTGGTTACCGATTTACAGCATATGTCATGAATACATACAGTGTGTGTGTGTATCCGATTATCCGGTTCCCTCGCCTATCCGGATGTGTTTTTTTTTGGTGGAAAAGGGATGTGTGCGGTTAAGCGAGGTCTGACTGTACATGTCTCGAGTAGGTGCTTTATGTACATGAGCATGATCCCATCCAGGACTGAGGTTGCCACATACTAGTGTACACTCCTGTAAGATAGTATGACACATGGCACATAGTGCATGAACCCTGGTGCACCAGCCAGTATGTCCGCATTTGCCAGGCTGACATCAGTGCAACACACTTTGTATTTGTATTTTATTATATAAAAGGATTTCCCAAAGGCTTTGGGCCTGTCGAGGGATCTCCTGCAAGAAGAATGAAATGAAAACTTTATGTAGAGGGAGCAGTTATTCGAGGATAGGCTAAGGAGATAGATGAAGGCATACAAAATCTGGTAATTAAGGAGTTGGAATACCGTCAGTGTAATGAATATATCTTACCTAAACACAGTACTATGGGGGCACGTGTGTTAGTGTCCGCATTTCGCATTTCGCAGGTGACCGCATTTTCAAGTGTCAGCGCATACAGTAAAACCTGTGACTAACGACCACCCCTTGGTGCCAGAGAAAAGCGGTCTTTAGTGGTAGGTGGTCCTTAGTTAGGTGTTTTCACCGCACATCCATATAGGTTCAACTCGAGTGACAGAAACTCGCCCAAACATGCTGTAAGTTGTAGCCTGCAGGCACGGTGACCAGGTGACTGGTGTACGCCATGTTTGATTGGGAATAAGGACCGAACGCTACATCGCAGCCTTGACGGACCGAAACCAGTCGACTCGGCGTCAAAAAGACTACAAAATATGGGCCAATCGCGGTCATCCGGGCTTTTATAAGAACGAAATGTGTAAATGAGATAGGCATTGTTCATACCTTGCTCCAGAATGTGCGTTGCCACTTTTCTGTACCACTTACATGACTTGCTAGTGGCCGTATACAAAGAGATCATGCCATCATTCCGATCCACTCCTCCCAGATGCAGATTGTAGTCGTTCACACACGTCAACTTCCGAATGAGACTCTTCTCGCAGTCGGTTACCTGGCCCATGCATATTCAGGAAGTGGACTGACTAAGTGTCTTCCAGCTACACGAACATCATCCCTGCATGGCTTCGATGGGCAAACTCTCCCTTAGCCCAGCTTCAGGTTCACGACACGCTTCGGCAGTCCCTGACGGTTCTTCCAAATCGTGCAGCAGACGGCGGTGTTGTTGTTTGTAAGGTAGCGTGCCAGTTCAATACTGCTGTACCAGTTGTCGATGGACAACTGGTATCCCTTACCCAGCAGTGGCTGAATAGTCGGCCCTTCCAATATTTGGCCACCTGCCGACCCTTCCAATAGTTGGTTAGGTGCGCCACAACCATCAAATGGATGACAAGGGCTTAAACCCCCACCAGCCTTTCTCCACTGTAAACAAGAAAGAAGCCGCAGAAACCACAATGTCACAGAGCTCTATTGTTGGGGGAGAGAGCTGTGAGCACTGCACACTTACCAGGTATCGCAATACACAATAAGGAAGAGGCGGCGCTTGATGCACCGCCTCAGGTGTTGGAACAGGGGTATAACCCCTGTAAGGTGGACGCCGCAGTGGCACGTGAAGGTCATTTCTGCAGACTGTTTTCAGGATAATGATACTGAACTGAAGGTATGAACCGCAAAGCAAGACCTTTATCTTCTTCCTGTCGAATTCGCTCCCCAGCTGCATACCGACATCAACCGCTAAAATCCAATCATACCGAGTAACGCAAAGGTCATCAGTTGACCTTTTGGACTTTTCAACTCTTGTCCAAAACCACCAAGAGGAACAAACCTGGATGAAGAAGACGTCAGTTGTCGAAGCGTTTGTGGAGGAGTTGTTACATTATTCTCAGTAAATAGATATGGCTGATACTTTCGGTGTAGACTTGGACGACCGTTCGTGGTCTCTCACCATGGGTCCTTTACTAATAGAAAGCGTCAGGCGAAATAGCACGTCATCGTACATTTGAGATCAGCGGGAAGAAGATGACGACGTCCACTAATTTAGTATCTGTGCACATGAATCTACTGTGTGTGTGACTCTGTGTGTCAGCTATGATATCATCTTCTGTGGTTCCATGCCTAGCATGTACGTCTGAACCATCCTGCAAAGTTCGAATGACGTAGGTTGAGCGATCGCTCCGCGAAACATACTTTTTGAAATTCTCTTCATAGTATATCTTCCACCATTGAAATTTCGAATTTCTTCAAAAAAAGTGCTGAGAGGGGTGGCTTGCAACCTCGATATGGCTTGTTCCAGGCATGCTTTGGAGCCATCTTCTGTTGAAGTAGTGGCGGGGATCTGCCCTGCAACTGCTACAGAAAATGATTCGATCTGAGAAAGGGTGAGACCGCGAATCTCGGTTGAATATTGAGTATTTCAAGCCTTTTCACGACGAAGATGGAGTTCTTTTTGGAGATGGACGTCGCGGCAAAGGACAAGTTGTCCGACGTCTGGCGACTCTTGATAATACTAGTACTAGTACTAGTAGTGGCATTAGTGGCGACGCTAGTCTGCTACATACATACATGTACATCTAGATCTACGTGTACGGGTTGCGCCTCGCCGCGCCGGCGCAACAGCAGCTGCGTGATCGTCATGGTTACCGGTTCCGCGCCTTCCTGGCCGGCTACACTCTCTACTCGTCTCAGGACAGTAGAATCGAACTCCTAAGCAGCAGCTGCTGCGCATACTCCTCATCAGAAGAGTTTGCACGAGCAGTTTTTCGGTCTTGGTCAGAGAAGGTGGAAGCACTGTATTCTGCTCCCGATTGTAGACGGTCAGTTTTGTCCTAAACCCTTTTTCCTGTCAATGCAGTGTACTCAGTCCATTCTTGACGAGTCCCTACAACGAAGTGACAAAAGATTCCAAGTTACAGGTCGTCCCTCGTTAATACATAATCTCTGGGACTTGACAAATGTTATGTATTAACGGGGTTTATGTACTAAACGAAAGTGTACATAACTTGCTTGTGTACCAGTATTTTTCACTTTTTTCAACTTTTTTGAGTGTTTCTTGCTGCCGTGAGTCCATGACTAGGGAGCGAGATATTCTTGATTCCCTCGATATAACATAAAAAATTATGTTATAACGGTCACAGTCAGCCAAGATTCTACAGTTTACATGCCCAGCTAGCTGCGCCTGAACAGTCACTCGGAAAAAAAACAGAGCTTTGTCGGTGTGTGATGTGCGCTCTGATTTCTGAGCTAATCGCATCCACAAGTAGAAACCAGAACACGATGTGCCTCCACTGGAAGGCCAAAAGACCAACAAAATTATGTACTATTGAGGTAGGTGGCATGCGGGTACGGAGAAATGTTATGTACTAACGGGGTTTATGTACTAACGAATTATGTACTAACCGACATAATTTGTATGGAAGTGATCACGTTTCGTCCGGGACTTGAGATTTCTTATGTACTAACGGGGTTTATGTACTAACCAGACTCGTATTAACGGGGGACGACCTGTATAGTGAGTTTCCAGACCGCGTAGGGCAAAACGAAACGAAGAGTTTATTCTTGAATCTCCAGAGAACTCCTTGTCTCCTTACCGCCAGTAGTTCTTTGTTGCCCCTGCCCATGACGGGTAGAGATGAGTAGATCCAGTAAATGTTTTCAAGCAGTTGATCCGAGGAGCTCTAAGTTGCGATAAAGACGGACTTGATTGCAATACTCGATACCATCATGTGATCTTCCGTCCTTTTTCAGCAGTAGCTTGTGTAGCCATTTTGGCAGTATGTTGCGCAAGAAAGCAGTAATCGCCGGCTATTTGTCCGTGACTTCCGCCGGGTGTCGGACACGGAAACTGCACACATCGCGAGGTGAGCTATGCTGACATTGTGCATTCTCTCTGTCATCAAGCGATAGTTTTCATAGTGCGCTTTGCGCTGGCTTGCATCACAGCTCTAGGTCGTTCAGTGACTTGTCTACTACTTCGAAGTACATGACATTGTGTAGTTTGGTGTGAACGCTTGTGTGCGGCTTTCCCAAAGGGATGTCGACTAATGTCGTCGGTGCCTTGCGTTCTGTATGGTGTTTTCATTTGCAGCTTCGATGGCCGGTGATTTGAGCAACATGTTCTCCGCGTTACACTTCGCAGAGCAGAGCTGATTGCCGAGCCAGAAGTAAGTTTTGGCAAGGTGCTGAGAAGGACCATCAGATAGCGACAGGAAGCGGAGAATCGTCTGCAACGACATCAATCAGCGCTGCTCAGCGTCAGCTCTGGGAATGGCCGTTCCGGGTCGTCGCCGTTCGAAGACGCAGCAGGTAAGAGGATTTGCTATGCGTTGCGTACTTGAGGTTGGTGAACAATTGTCTGTTGGTTGAGCAGTGAGTTCATCATACAGTTGAGCTCCGTGAAATCCGACCCGGAGTGCAAAGGTGGTGCCCTGGACTGGTTCCGATCACATTGCATTTCATTTGTACTTGCACGTGTGCAAATTCCAGCCGCATTCGTGCTACTTTCAGGGCATCAAGCGTGTGCTAGTTGAGGGCGCAAAAAATGCACTCTGGATCGGATTTTATCGAGCACAACTGTACTCTTCTTTCCTTGTAGACTCGCGGTGAAGTGAGAGAAAAAATACTTTTTTTCCGAGAATAGGGATGGCCGTTTTGCGGGTGTGTCTCTCGCTTCAATACTACAGTCAACTGCACTTGTAACGAACTCGCATAATATAGGGAATTTCGTGATAAAGCGACGAACCCTTGTCCAATTCACAGTTTGAACCCACAATGTAAATGCATCTCTGTTCCAGTCGAACCTCACGATTACGGACACTCAAGGGACTAAGGTCAAATGTCCTCAATTTACAGATGTCCTCAATTCTCAGCAACTTGCACCCAGCATCATACAATATGTATGTCATTTTGTTCGTTGCAATGGATGCAACCATCATAATACAGCACAGTCAGACCTCGCTTATCCGGTCCTCTGTTATCCGGATCCCTCGTCATTCGGCAGAAAATCTTTGGTTACCGATTTACAGCATATGTCATGCATACATACAGTGTGTGTGTGTGTGTGTCCGATTATCCGGTTCCCTCGCCTATCCGGATGGTTTTTTTTGTGGAAAACGGATGTGTGCGGTTAAGCGAGGTCTGACTGTACACGTCTCAAGTAGGTGCTTTATGTACATGAGCATGGTCCCATCCAGGACTGAGATTGCCACATACTAGTGTACACTCCTGTAAGATAGTATGACACATGGCACATAGTTCATGAACCCTGGTGCACCAGCCAGTATGTCCGCATTTGCCAGGCTGACATCAGTGCAACACACTTTGTATTTGTATTTTATTATATAAAAGGATTTCCCAAAGGCTTTGGGCCTGTCGAGGGATCTCCTGCAAGAAGAATGAAATGAAAACTTTATGTAGAGGGAGCAGTTATTCGAGGATAGGCTAAGGAGATAGATGAAGGCATACAAAATCTGGTAATTAAGGAGTTGGAATACCGTCAGTGTAATGAATATATCTTACCTAAACACAGTACTATGGGGGCACGTGTGTTAGTGTCCGCATTTCGCATTTCGCAGGTGACCGCATTTTCAAGTGTCAGCGCATACAGTAAAACCTGTGACTAATGACCACCCCTTGGTGCCAGAGAAAGCGGTCTTTAGTGGTAGGTGGTCCTTAGTTAGGTGTTTTCACCGCACATCCATATAGGTTCAACTCGAGTGACAGAAACTCGCCCAAACATGCTGTAAGTTGTAGCCTGCAGGCACGGTGACCAGGTGACTGGTGTACGCCATGTTTGATTGGGAATAAGGACCGAACGCTACATCGCAGCCTTGACGGACCGAAACCAGTCGACTCGGCGTCAAAAAGACTACAAAATATGGGCCAATCGCGGTCATCCGGGCTTTTATAAGAACGAAATGTGTAAATGAGATAGGCATTGTTCATACCTTGCTCCAGAATGTGCGTTGCCACTTTTCTGTACCACTTACATGACTTGCTAGTGGCCGTATACAAAGAGATCATGCCATCATTCCGATCCACTCCTCCCAGATGCAGATTGTAGTCGTTCACACACGTCAACTTCCGAATGAGACTCTTCTCGCAGTCGGTTACCTGGCCCATGCATATTCAGGAAGTGGACTGACTTAGTGTCTTCCAGCTACACGAACATCATCCCTGCATGGCTTCGATGGGCAAACTCTCCCTTAGCCCAGCTTCAGGTTCACGACACGCTTCGGCAGTCCCTGACGGTTCTTCCAAATCGTGCAGCAGACGGCGGTGTTGTTGTTTGTAAGGTAGCGTGCCAGTTCAATACTGCTGTACCAGTTGTCGATGGACAACTGGTATCCCTTACCCAGCAGTGGCTGAATAGTCGGCCCTTCCAATATTTGGCCACCTGCCGACCCTTCCAATAGTTGGTTAGGTGCGCCACAACCATCAAATGGATGACAAGGGCTTAAACCCCCACCAGCCTTTCTCCACTGTAAACAAGAAAGAAGCCGCAGAAACCACAATGTCACAGAGCTCTATTGTTGGGGGAGAGAGCTGTGAGCACTGCACTCTTACCAAGTATCACAATAGAAGATAAACAAGAGGCGACGCTTGATGGACCGCCTCAAGTGCGGGAAGAGGGGTATTACCCCTGTCAGTTTAGCCCCACAATGACACGTGAATGCCATTTTAACTTGATGATACGTAAGTGAAGGTGTGAACCGCAAAGCAAGACCTTTCACAGCGTCTTGGTATTCGGACTGCAGAAGCAGTCCGACCTGCCGGTCCTTCCAGTATCGGTTTTGATGGGCCGCATCTGCCAGGTGTGCGGTCACGGCTGGGGCCCCCACCAGCCTTTCTCTACTGTAAAAACGAAAGAAACAGCAGAAAGCACAGTGTCAGTGTCCTGATAGTCGGACTGCTTTTGCAGTCCGACCTGGTGGCCCTTCCAGTAACGGCTCAGGTGAGCCGCATCCGCGAGGTGTGAGGCCACAGCTGAAGCGCCCACCAGCCTTTCTCCACTGTAAACAAGAAAGAAACAGCAGAAAGCACAGTGTCATAGAGCTCTATTGTTGGGGGAGAGAGCTGTGAGCACTGCACACTTACCAGGTATCGCAATACACAATAAGGAAGAGGCGGCGCTTGATGCACCGCCTCAGGTGTTGGAACAGGGGTATAACCCCTGTAAGGTGGACGCCGCAGTGGCACGTGAAGGTCATTTCTACAGACTGTTTTCAGGATAATGATACTGAACTGAAGGTATGAACCGCAAAGCAAGACCTTTATCTTCTTCCTGTCGAATTCGCTCCCCAGCTGCATACCGACATCAACCGCTAAAATCCAATCATACCGAGTAACGCAAAGGTCATCAGTTGACCTTTTGGACTTTTCAACTCTTATCCAAAACCACCAAGAGGAAAAAACCAGGATGAAGAAGACGTCAGTTGTAGAAGCGTTTGTGGAGGAGTTGTTACATTATTCTCAGTAAATAGATATGGCTGATACTTTCGGTGTAGACTTGGACGACCGTTCGTGGTCTCTCACCATGGGTCCTTTACTAATAGAAAGCGTCAGGCGAAATAGCACGTCATCGTACATTTGAGATCAGCGGGAAGAAGATGACGACGTCCACTAATTTAGTATCTGTGCACACGAATCTGCTGTGTGTGTGACTCTGTGTGTCAGCTATGATCATCTTCTGTGGTTCCATGCCTAGCATGTACGTCTGAACCATCCTGCAAAGTTTGAATGACGTAGGTTGAGCGATCGCTCCGCGAAACATACTTTTTGAAATTCTCTTCATAGTATATCTTCCACCATTGAAATTTCGAATTTCTTCAAAAAAAGTGCTGAGAGGGGTGGCTTGCAACCTCGATATGGCTTGTTCCAGGCATGCTTTGGAGCCATCTTCTATTGAAGTAGTGGCGGGGATCTGCCCTGCAACTGCTACAACAAAAAAAGATTCGATCTGAGAAAGGGTGAGACCGCGAATCTCGGTTGAATATTGAGTATTTCAAGCCTTTTCACGACGAAGATGGAGTTCTTTTTGGAGATGGACGTCGCGGCAAAGGACAAGTTGTCCGACGTCTAGTCTGCTACATACATACATGTACATCTAGATCTACGTGTACGGGTTGCGCCTCGCCGCGCCGGCGCAACAGCAGCTGCGTGATCGTCATGGTTACCGGTTTCGCGCCTTCCTGGCCGGCTACACTCTCTACTCGTCTCAGGACAGTAGAATCGAACTCCTTAGCAGCAGCTGCTGCGCATACTCCTCATCAGAAGAGTTTGCACGACCAGTTTTTCGGTCTTGGTCAGAGAAGGTGGAAGCACTTTATTCTGCTCCCGTTTGTAGACGGTCAGTTTTGTCCTAAACCCTTTTTCCTGTCAATGCAGTGTACTCAGTCCGTTCTTGACGAGTCCCTACAACGAAGTGACAAAAGATTCCAAGTTATAGTGAGTTTCCAGACCGCGTAGGGCAAAACGAAACGAAGAGTGTATTGTTGAATCTCCAGAGAACCCCTTGTCTCCTTACCGCCAGTAGTTCTTCGTTGCCCCTGCCCATGACCGGTAGAGATGAGTAGATCCAGTAAATGTTTTCAAGCAGTTGATCCGAGGAGCTCCAAGTTGCGATAAAGACGGACTTGATTGCAATACTCGATACCATCATGTGAACTTCCGTCCTTTTCAGCAGTAGCTTGTGTAGCCATTTTGGCAATATGTTGCGCAAGAAAGCAGTAATCGCCGGCTATTTCTCCGTGACTTCCGCCGGGTGTCGGACACGGAAACTGCACACATCGCGAGGTGAGCTATGCTGACATTGTGCATTCTCTCTGTCATTAAGCGATAGTTTTCATAGTGCGCTTTGCGCTGGCTTGCATCACAGCTCTAGGTCGTTCAGTGACTTGTCTAATACTTCGAAGTACATGACATTGTGTAGTTTGGTGTGAACGCTTGTGTGCGGCTTTCCCAAAGGGATGTCGACTAATGTCGTCGGTGCCGTGCGTTCTGTATGGTGTTTTCATTTGCAGCTTCGATGGCCGGTGATTTGAGCAACATGTTATCCGCTTTACACTTCGCAGAGCAGAGCTGATTGCCGAGCCAGAAGTAAGTTTTGGCAAGGTGCTGAGAAGGACCATCAGATAGCGACAGGAAGCGGGGAATCGTCTGCAACGACATCCATCAGCGCTGCTCAACGTCAGCTCTGGGAATGGCCGTTCCGGGTCGTCGCCGTTCGAAGACGCAGCAGGTAAGAGGATTTGCTATGCGTATCGTACTTGAGGTTGGTGAACAATTGTCTGTTGGTTGAGCAGTGAGTTCATCATACAGTTGAGCTCCGTGAAATCCGACCCGGAGTGCAAAGGTGGTGCCCTGGACTGGTTCCGATCACATTGCATTTCATTTGTACTTGCACGTGTGCAAATTCCAGCCGCATTCGTGCTACTTTCAGGGCATCAAGCGTGTGCTAGTTGAGGGCGCAAAAAATGCACTCTGGATCGGATTTTATCGAGCACAACTGTACTCTTCTTTCCTTGTAGACTCGCGGTGAAGTGAGAGAAAAAATAACGTTTTTCCGAGAATAGGGATGGCCGTTATGCGGGCGTGTCTCTCGCTTCCTCACTACAGTAAACTAGACTTGTAACGAACTCGCATGATATAGGGAATTTCGTGATAAAGCGACGAACCCTTGTCCAATTCCCAGTTTGAACCCACAATGTAAATGCATCTGTATTCCAGTCGAACCTCACGATTGCGGATACTCAAGGGACTAAGGTCAAATGTCCTCAATTTACAGATGTCCTCAATTCTCAGCAACTTGCACCCAGCATCATACAATATGGACGTCATTTTGTTCGTTGCAATGAATGCAACCATCATAATACAGCACAGTAAGACCTCGCTTATCCGGTCCTCTGTTATCCGGATCCCTCGCTATCCGGAAGAAAATCGTTGGTTACCGATTTACAGCATATGTCATGCATACATACAGTGTGTGTGTGTGTGTGTGTGTGTCCGATTATCCGGTTCCCTCGCCTATCCGGATGTGTGTTTTTTGTGGAAAAGGGATGTGTGCGGTTAAGCGAGGTCTGACTGTACATGTCTCGAGTAGGTGTTTTATGTACATGAGCATGATCCCATCCAGGACTGAGGTTGCCACATACTAGTGTACACTCCTGTAAGATAGTATGACACATGGCACATAGTGCATGAACCCTGGTGCACCAGCCAGTATGTCCGCATTTGCCAGGCAGGAAAGCAGTTAATCGAAGATAGGCTAAGGAAATAGATCGAGGCATACAAAATCTGGTAATTACATCTGGTAATTAAGGAGTTGGGATACCGTCAGTGTAATGAATATATCTTACCTGAACACAGTACTATGGGGGCACGCGTGTTAGTGTTCGCATTTCGCAGGTGACCGCATTTTCAAGTGTCAGCGCATACAGTAAAACCTATGACTAACGACCACCCCTTGGTGCCAAAGAAAGCGGTCTTTAGTGGTAGGTGGTCCTTAGTGGTAGGTGGTCCTTAGTTAGGTGTTTTCACCGCACATCCATATAGGTTCAACTCGAGTGACAGAAACTCGCCCAAACATGCTGTAAGTTGTAGCCTGCAGGCACGGTGACCAGGTGACTGGTGTACGCCATGTTCGATTGGGAATAAGGAACGAACGCTACATCGCAGCCTTTTCGGACCAAAACCAGTCGACTCAGCGTCAAAAGGACTACAAAATATGGGCCAATCGCGGTCATCCGGGCTTTTATAAGAACGAAATGTGTAAATGAGATAGGCATTGTTCATACCTTGCTCAAGAATGTGCGTTGCCACTTTTCTGTACCACTTACATGACTTGCGAGTGGCTGTATACAAAGAGATCATGCCATCATTCCAATCCACTCCTCCCAGATGCAGATTGTAGTCGTTCACACACGTCAACTTCCGAATGAGACTCTTCTCGCAGTCGGTTACCTGGCCCATGCATATTCAGGAAGGTAGCGTGCCAGTTCAATACTGCTGTACCAGTTGTCGATGGACAACTGGTATCCCTTACCCAGCAGTGGCTGAATAGTCGGCCCTTCCAATATTTGGCCATCTGCCGACCCTTCCAATAGTTGGTTAGGTGCGCCACATCCATCAAATGGATGACAAGGGCTTGAACCCCCACCAGCCTTTCTCCACTGTAAACAAGAAAGAAGCCGCAGAAAGCACAATGTCATAGAGCTCTATTGTTGGGGGAGAGAGCTGTGAGCACTGCACTCTTACCAAGTATCACAATATAAAATAACCAAGAGGCGAAGCTTGATGGACCGCCTCAAGTGCTGGAAGAGGGGTATTACCCCTGCCAGTTTAGCCCCACAATGACACGTGAATGCCATTTTAACTTAATGATACGTAAGTGAAGGTGTGAACCGCAAAGCAAGACCTTTCACAGCGTCTTGGTATTCGGACTGCAGAAGCAGTCCGACCTGCCGGTCCTTCCAGTATCGGTTTCGATGGGCCGCATCTGCCAGGTGTGCGGTCACGGCTGGGGCCCCCACCCGCCTTTCTCCTCTGTAAAAACGAAAGAAACAGCAGAAAGAACACAGAGTCCTGATAGTCGGACTGCAAAAGGAGTCCGACCTGCCAGCCCTTCCAGTAACGGCTCAGGTGAGCCGCATCCGCGAGGTGTGAGGCCACAGCTGAAGCGCCCACCAGCCTTTCTCCACTGTAAACAAGAAAGAAACAGCAGAAAGCACAGTGTCATAGAGCTCTATTGTTGGGGGAGAGAGCTGTGAGCACTGCACACTTACCAGGTATCGCAATACACAATAAGGAAGAGGCGGCGCTTGATGCACCGCCTCAGGTGTTGGAACAGGGGTATAACCCCTGTAAGCTTAATGCCACAGTGACAAGGGAAAGTCATTTACAGGGTACTGATACCGGTCACAGCAACCTGATAGTCGGACTGCAAAAGCAGTCCGACCTGCCGGTCCTTCCAGTAATGGGTCAGGTGGGCCCCATCCGCCAGGTGTGCGGCCACGGCTGAGGCTCCCACCAGCCTTTCTCCACTGTAAAACGAAAGAAACCGCAGAAAGCACAGCGTCATAGAGCTCTTTTGTTTGGGGAGAGAGCTGTCAGCACTGCACACTTACCAGGTATCGCAATATACAATACAGGGTCCTAATACGCTCTACGGCGTCCCGGTAGTCTGACTGCAACAGCAGTCCGACTTGCCGACCCTCCCAGTAACGGGTTAGATGGGCCGTACCCGTGAGGTGGGCGACCACGGCTGGGCCTCCCACCAGCCTTTCTCCACTGTAAAAACGAAAGAAACCGCAGAAAGCATAGTGTCATAGAGCTCTTTTGTTGGGGGAGAGAGCTAGGAGCACTGCACACTTACCATTTATCGCAATATATGATTAGAAAGAGGCGGCGCTTGACGCACCGCCTCAGATGCCGGAACAGGGGTATTACCCCTGTCAGTCGGACACCGCAGTGGCACGTGAACGTCATTTGGGCTGTTTTCAGGATAATGATACTGAAGTGAAGGTGTGAACCGCAAAGCAAGACCTTTACCTTCTTCCTGTCGAATTCGCTCCCCAGCTGCATACCGACATCATCCGCTAAAACCCAATCATACCAAGTAACGCAAAGGTCATCAGTTGACCTTTTGGACTTTTCAACTCTTATCCAAAACCACCAAGAGGGAAAAACCAGGATGAAGAAGACGTCAGTTGTAGAAGCGTTTGTGGAGGAGTTGTTACATTATTCTCAGTGAATAGATATGGCTGATACATTCGGTGTAGACTTGGACGACCGGTCGTGGTCTCTTACCACGGGTCCTTTACTAATAGAAAGGTGGACGCCAATAAGAACTGTTGTGGAGTTGGCAGATCAAAAGGCGCAGCAAGAAATTTGGCACGTCGGTGGTAGACTCCATCGGGAGGACGGACCAGCTCTTGTTGATAGTAGGGGAGTCCGCCTGGTGCTATGGAGGTCGCCTTCATCGCTTTAATGAACCTGCTTGGATAGGACGGGGTAGCATCGAGTACTACCTCAACGGCGCCCGTCATAGAGCCGACGGTGTAGGACACGGAAACTGCACACATCGTGAGTTGAGCTATGCAGATCCCAGATCTTCACACATCATCAGGATACTGATACGCTCCACGGTGTCCTGGTAGTCGGAGTACAGAAGCAGTCCGACCTGCCGGCCCTTCCAATATTTGTCCAGGTGGGCCGCATCCATCAAATGGGTGGTAAGGGCTCGAACTACCACCAGCCCTTCTCCACTGTAAACACGAAAGAAACCACAGAAAGCACAGTGTCCTAGAGCTCTATTGTTGGGGAAGAGAGCTGTGAGCACTGCATACTTACCAGGTATCGCAATATACAATAACCAAGACGCCTCAACGTCAACATCAGGCACTTTCAAGTCGTCACCAGGCACGAACCAGTCATCATCGTCTTCATCCTCCAAATAAGGGTCCTGATTGCTCGCAGCATCAACAAAGATGGATTCGATGGCCTCTTCCTCCGTGAAGCGACGACGCGACATGACCGAAATGTGAGCGACCCGACGAAAATGTCGATAATTTGGAATGGTCAAAATTTGAAAATTGCATTGTACTCAAGGACTCCCTGGGCCACGTTCACGCTGCCTACGGGCGAAGTTCGACCTGCAGATGACTCACGCCCACATGCGGGTGACAGCCATCCACTTTAGCACTCTACATCTAGTCCACGGGTGAAGTATTGGACAGCTCGCGATGTAGTGTTTTCATGACCTATATATACGTCATACATGTAAGTGGACGGGCGTCATTCTCAATGACGAATATAATTATACGTCATTAGCGCTAAAAGGGGAAAAAAGGGGAAGTTCACCCTAAAATCAAAATTTCAGAACCTGTTGGGAAAAATCCACTGATTCCAATGGCGAAAGTCCGAAGTTGATCTGAGCAACCATTTTGGAGTTATAGCATCTGGAAGTTTAGACTAAATTCGATGACGTCATGATGGCATCATAATTTATGACGTCATTGAGATAAAGTGATTTTTCAAAATTTGATATGGGATATATGACACCTTACTGGTATCTAAACTGGAAACATATCTCCCAGAAAGCTTGTTGCAGCAACGAAAAACGACACAAATTGGCTATTTACCATCTATGGACCACTTGCCAGAGACCTTGTTCACATGTGACATTATTTCTGATTCTGTTTTTCTCATAC